TCAATTTGTATGAACTTTTATTTATTTATAGTGGATTCTTTTCTTATTTCAGTTAAATTGTTTTACTTTTTAGATGTATCTAATCTTGATACATTTAAAAATTAAAAAAAAATAATCAAAATATGAAGAAAAAAATTTCAATAAAATCAAATTAAAACTGAAAACTTAAACCAAATAAAGCTATAATTTTCTGTCGTGCCATTAACGGCTCCTGTTTACATTGTTAATATTTTATTTTATATAATTTGATCCTATTAAAAAATTAGTGGACATCACCAAATAAGAATCTACACCTGTTAAAAATTCATTGCTTTGAGAAGTTTAAATCATTTTATTTGGTAATAATTTTTAAAAACATTTTTTGAAATTTTTTGAGCAAATTCCTTTTACTTTTAAATTCACTTACTCTAGATATAATTTAAAAATAAAATAATTTTTAATTTTTTTCAAAAAATTCGCTAAATACAAAAATATATATATATATATATATATAAACCCCTTCACATGGGGTGAATTCAACAACATCACCAAATAAGAATCTACACCTGTTAAAAATTCATTGCTTTGAGAAGTTTAAATCATTTTATTAGGTAATAATTTTTAAAAACATTTTTTGAATTTTTTTGAGCAAATTCCTTTTACTTTTAAATTCACTTACTCTAGATATAATTAAAAAAATAAAATAATAGATCGACCTAACTTTTTTTTGCGACAAATATGATAAATTAAATAGGCTACAATTAACAGACCTAATATTTTTGTGTGAATGAAATACATAAAATGCCCAATAAAATGAACAGTTCGGATCATTAAAATGGGATATGAATCATTTGTGAAGTGACTTTATTTATAATTTTTTTTTAAGCATCACTGTTTTAGAGCATCTCTATCAGTCTACTTATATTTTATCTTAAAATATTATTAAAAAATCCATATCTTATTTTAGGAATTACTTTTTTATTTATCTCCCCCAACAAACTCTATATTCTTTTTCTATTTTATTAAAATAATATTTTTAATTATTATGAAAGCAAAGCAGCAGCACTTTCTCTATTTTATTAAAATAATATTTTTAATTATTATGAAGGCAAAGCAAAGCAGGAGCACATGGAAAGCAGTAGCAAAGCAGAATGGTCGACCGGCCAGACAATCAGGCGACCGACCGGTTAGGCCAATTTTGTGCTTCTTTTTCTTCAGCTACAAGGCAATCACAGGACATCGGGGGGACGTCCCGGGGACGTTTGGGAAGACATCTGGAAAGACATCCCTTCACGTCTTTTATCAGATATAAGGGAGCTACAATGACTCCCCACAAATAGGGAGTCACTGTAGCAACACTTATTTGGGAGGTTGTTTAGGGGAACTGATGGAGGTGTATTTTGGGATTTCAATCCCTTAAAATATGTATGGAGTGGGTTTAGGGAGACTGTTAGGGATGCTCTTATATCCTTAATAATTAGACTTTGTTTGAAAATTAATTATTTTAATAATTTTTAAATTTTTTAATAAAAAAATATTTTAAAAAATAAATTAAATGATGTAATAATTTGTACTGACTTTTTAACTTTTTAATTAAAATAGTCTATTGATAAATAAGAAGTTAGTTGAAAGTTTGTACCCATTTGGCATTTTTATTGGGTCATCGATGGAACAGGCCGGGCTTACTCGGCCCGTAACTATTATGTTCACGTTTCATATATTAATGAGTTTTTCGAATTTTAATCAGTCAATGAGTTAGTACGGCCCGGGTTTATTTAAAAAAAATTAAAATCATATCCTACCCTTTAGTCCAAATCTTAGGGGCTAAAATTAAACAGAATCGGGTCACACATTTTTTATTACACTTATATTATTAAGTTATACACATTTTTATTTTATTTTTAAATAATTCATCTTATCAAATTAATTAATACCATTAAAAAATCAAATTAAAGTATAAATTAACCAAATTAACACGTTATGACAATGTTATATGTAAAAAGTTAAGAGTTAGAAAGATATCACCGGTCACTGTTAAATTCAATTTTAACAAATTGTAATTTGTGTATTTTTTTTTTTTTTTGAATTACAATTTACAAGGATAATATCGTCAATCAAATGTTAATTTTTTGTTAAAATGGTTTGTTTCCAATTTTTTGAAAAAAAAATTCAAAAAAATCAATTTTCTTGTTTTTCGTATTTTTTTGTTTTTACTGAATTTTTTTTAATATTTTAAGCAATTTTTTTTAAAATTTTTTAGACCCACCTAATATAAATACACTTAAAAAGCATAATTTTTGTGAATTTTTTTAAAAAAAATTCACTAAATACCACAAATACAAAAAATATATATATAAAAATTTAGTATATTTTTCATATTTTTGTATATTTAATAATTTTTTTAAATATTTTTTCACAAATATTTTGTTTTTGTAGATACATCTAAGTAAGGTGTATCTAAAAAAGTAAAAAAAAAAAAATACTTAAAATATTAAAAATATTCACTAAAAATAATAAAAAAAACACAAAATAAAAATTTTAATTTAAAAAAAATTGAATTTAAAAATTAAAATCAAAAACTTTTTTTGGACCAAATAATTTGAGACGAGTTAATGAAATGATAAAATTAGATTTACTCATACAGGCTTTGGGTGGGCTAAGTTCAGGGGGAAGACTCGAGTTTTAAACTTCTATCTAAAACCCTAATTAATTTTCTCTAAGTTGGAACGAGTCATAAAATGATTTGGACGAATTAAACAATTGAATTTTTTTGTTGGCAGACCATTTAATGAACCCATAGACTGGATATGGAGTCAAGCACCCCTCCCTTGACCCCATTTCGCATATTTATGAAGTCATTAAAATGAATTACAAGCCATGGCCCTCCTTCCAAGTTTCTGCACACAACTTTATTGTGCTAGCTGTTGTCATTGAACTTTTGATTGAAAAAGCTGGCTTGGTGGTGACCTTTCCTCATAATTTTCCTAGCCTTTATTTTCTCAAACTTACAATCCCACTTTGCTTGTGGTCGAATACAATATCGTCTTATTATAAATACCAAAAACGTCTTAAATTATATCATATCATCAATTGATATACTATTTAGTACACTAATTAGTACATATAACATTATTCAGTACAATAATATAGGATTTGGATCAAGTGCTATTAATTTGGTTATTGTAACATTATTATTTTAATGATAAAAAGGTAATTTTTTAGTATCATATTCAAAAATTATTCCCAACCGTTAGATCTAGACATGGGGAAAAAATAACATTTAGGAAAAAAATGCAACTTGAATAGTAAAGAATAAAATTGGATATAAAAAATGAAATAATTTTATCAAAAAATTAAATCATTTTTATAGTTTTATTTATTGTTGACATTAATTCGACTTACAATTGGACCCTATTTATTAAGAGGTCGAACTTTGCTCATTGCACGATGTGATCATCAATTAAACAGTGATGATGAAACACAATATATTGAATTATCTATCAACACATTTAAAAGTTCTCATACTAATATACGATATTGAATTATTAATTACTAATACATCTAAAAGTTTAAATTATTAGAAAGAGAGAAACTCTATAATACAAATGTGATTTGTATTATATGTTCTAATTATGATATTTGAGATTTTTAGTTATGACTTATTTTGTTATTAGTTATAATTTGACTATGACTCATTGCGATATTAATTATGACTCATTGTGATGTTGGTTATGATATATTGTGATTATTATTTAGTTATGATCGAAACGTCTTTGGTTATTGGTTATGACTCATTATTTTTTTAGATATCACTAAAAAAGATTTAGTTATGATATTTGTGATAATCAACATCATCACAAATGTCATAACTTGTAGATGATATAGATCCCGAAAAAGATATATATATGTATAATAGCATGACCCCTTTACATATATATATATGTGTGTGTGTGTGTGTGTGTGTGTGAGAGACAAAGGAGGAATAGCCTGGAGGGCCCTATTTGGGCCAGTGGATCCCAGTATGGGTCCCGTTTTGATGGTCTGAGTTGTTTATTTTGTCAAACACTTTGTATATTTCATCCATACAAAAAATTAGATTAATTCGATAATTGTAATTTATTTAATTTATTGCGTTTGTCACTATAAAAATTGATGATTTATTTTTAAAAATACAATTGTTGTCTATTTTTTTGTGACAAATATGATAAATTAAATATGTTACAATTAATAGATCGACCTAATTTTTATTTTTTTTTACGAATGAAATACATAAAATGCCCGACAAAATGAATAGTTTGGATTATCAAAATGGGACCCATAATGGGAATCACGGACCCAAATAGCGCCCGTCAATCCAAATTTTGGACTAGAAGGCATACTCCTTGATATATATATATATATATATGTATATATATATATATATATATATCATTTTTGGGTTTGGCTTCTCTCAAATTGATCATCTCAACTTGAAAAAACGTTTGGGTTTGGTAGGTCTATTTTAGGTCCTATTTCGGTGATTAAGTCGTTTATATTTTAGGACTCGTTGAGTAAAATATTTATGTAAAAAATCAAAATGAACGGAAATTGGTAATTATATGTATGAATCAAAATGACCATTCTTAAAATTATATTTGTAATTTATTTTTGTAAAATAAATAAGATTCAAATATATCTGTACCGGTGTCTAATCCTTTTGATTTTTTGTATGAAAATTTTATTTAACGAGTCCTAAAAAGTGAACGGTTCACATCACTGAAATCGATATAAAATAGGCTTATCTAACCAAAACGCTTTCTCAAATTGAGATGTTAATTTATGAGAAGTTAACTAAAAGCATAGAAGAGAGCGATAGTTTTTGATGAATTTCAATAAAAGAATTCTTCAAGTCTTTACAACGATACATCCTTCAGATATATACACTACCATAACCATCTAACCTGACTCTAGTTCTAACTAATTCAAAATCTAACTATAGTTAGTTATTGAAGAATAGCTTACATGGAAAACTCTATATATAATGTATGGATATGACTATGAGTGCACATTTTCACAAGCTTAAGCTTAAGCATTCTCTCTCTCTCTCTCTCTCTCTCTCTCTCTATCATGTCCGTGAGGAGGCTGTACAATGCTTCTCTTATGGGAGCTCTGGCACTGTTAGTGCACTTATGCATGGTTGATTTGGCCATTTGTTCCTCGAACTTCACAGATCAATTAGCTCTCCTCAGCTTCAAATCATCCATCAAAAATGATCCCAACAATGTGTTGAGTAACTGGACGAAAGAATCCAATTTTTGTGGCTGGGCGGGGGTCTTATGCAGCCGACGTAGGCAAAGAGTCACAAGCTTGCACCTTCGCAACATGGGTCTCGAAGGCACCATATCTCCTCATGTTGGTAATCTTTCTTTCCTTCAACTACTCAATCTTGGGAACAATAGCTTCTATGGTCATCTGACAGATGAAATAGGCCATTTGCGTCGCCTAAAAACCCTTTATTTATCTCATAATATGTTAGAAGGAAACATCCCATTGGGTTTACACCACTGTCAAAGGCTTGAAGGGATATATCTCGCGGGTAATAAATTTAGTGGTAGAATTCCGAAAGAGTTGAGCACCTTACCCTCTCTAAATGTCCTTGTTCTCGGAGAGAATGAACTTATAGGTACTATTCCACCTTCCTTTGGCAACATTTCAATCTTAGAAGGGTTTGGGCTAGAAAATAACCACATTTATGGAAACATTCCAACTGAATTGGCACAACTTCCAAATTTGAAGTTAATGTACCTTGCATTCAATTATCTCACAGGTCCAATACCTCCTGCAATTTTTAACAAGTCTTCAATGGCTCAAATTGTCTTGAATTTTAATGCCTTCTTTGGAAACCTTCCAACAAATAATGGCATTTTCCTTCCTAATCTTGAATTGCTCCTTTTGGATGACAATCAACTAACTGGAAACATCCCTTCACCTCTCTCCAATTCTTCTAAGCTCACTATGCTAACGCTATCTACCAACTTGCTTACTGGACCAGTACCAAAACATTTAGGCATTCTAAAACACCTAAAACATTTGAATTTATTTCAAAATCAACTGACAAACGAACCAGGAAGTATTGAACTTAGTTTCCTCACAGATTTGACAAATTGTACTTCCTTGGTGGGGTTGGAGGTGCAACAAAATAAATTGAGTGGCACCCTACCCAATTCTATTGGAAATCTTTCAAACTCTTTGCAACACCTTGATGTATCTGAAAACCAACTAGTTGGTACAATTCCTAAAGAGATTGGTTCTTTGAGGAATTTGACTCTACTTTCATTGGCTGTCAATAATCTGAATGGAAACATCCCCTCCACTCTTGGAGAAGTTAAAAGCTTGCAAAGCTTGTATCTTGGCTATAACAACTTTCATGGATCAATTCCAAATGAGATTTGCCTTTTGCGCAACTTAGGGGAACTTTATGCAGAGAAAAATGAGTTATCTGGATCGATCCCAAGTTGCATTGAAAATCTTAGAGGTTTGCAGGTGATATATCTCCCTGGTAATAAATTGACCTTCATACCGTCGAGTTTATGGAACCTTGAAACTTTAAGGGACTTGAATCTTTCGTTCAATTCATTAGGTGGAAGCCTAGATCCAAACATAAGACCATCGAAAGTGTTGGAAATCTTGGATTTATCTTGGAATCAAATCTCAGGAAGCATTCCGAAAGTTATTGGGTCATTTCAAAGCCTAACTTCTTTGAACCTGTCTAGGAATTCATTCTCAGGACCCATTCCCAACACAATGGGCAATTTGATAACATTGGATTACTTGGATCTTTCATACAATAATCTATCTGGACAAATACCTAAGTCTCTTGAAGCACTTTCACATATTCAATACATGAATTTCTCTTGCAATAAGTTGGCTGGGGAGATTCCAAATGAAGGGCCGTTCATGAACCTCACATCACGGTCTTTCATGGAGAATGAAGCACTCTGTGGGAATCCTATTTTGAAAGTGCCACCATGTGCAAGCAATAGTTCCAAGAAGTCGATGATTAAAATTAATCTTCGATATATTCTTCCTGTCATTACATTGATGCTAATCTTTTCTATTGGTGTGTATGTTGTGAAAAGAAATCATGGAAACAATGTCCAAAGTCAAAATCTGATAGATTTATATGCAACAACGGAGCATAGAATGATTTCATATCTTGAGCTTCTACGAGCCACAGATGACTTCTGCAAAGCCAACTTGCTTGGAGTAGGAAGCTATGGTTCGGTATACAAAGGTGTACTTTTAGATGGGACAATTGTTGCTGTTAAGGTTTTAAATTTGCAACTTGAAGGAGCTTTCAAAAGTTTTGATGTAGAATGTAAAGTGTTGCGAACAACTCGACATAGAAATCTCGTTGGAGTTATAACGGCATGCTCTAATCCTGAGTTCAGAGCATTGGTTTTGCAATATATGTCTAATGGAAGCCTTGAAATGTGGGTATATTCTCATAACTCTTGCCTTAATCTCCTTCAAAGGATTGGCATCATGATTGATGTAGCATTAGCTCTGGAATATCTCCATCATGGTCAATTAGAGCCTGTGGTTCATTGTGATTTGAAGCCGAGCAATGTCCTTCTAGATGAAGACATGGTGGCACATGTTGCTGACTTCGGCATTGCAAAAATTTTAGCTGAAAACAAGACTGCAATACAAACTAGGACTTTAGGTACCATCGGCTATATCGCTCCAGGTAAATGTTTTAATTACCTTTATGTACTTTATATTTCTCATTTGACAGACTTGTTAAAATTCAATTTTCTATGCATTTCTTATTAGTTTGTTTGGCATGCGTGTCTTGAATGTGAATTTTATGTTTTTAAATTCGTCGAAGAAATACCTAGATGGCTTTTGTTAAATGTCAATATATTGCTTTCATCAAGAACATAATGTCAAGTTGAGATAGGTACAGGCTTTTCAATGCAACTTTAATGTTGAACCACATGCCTACTATTGACACTATTTACTAGATTAATTAGATTACTAGGTTAAAGGATTATCTAGCCAAAAAGAAAAAAAAGCAGAAAATATGAGGCAATGGATCATTTTAGAATAAAATACACTAGGTTCCTAAAATATACGTTGTGTGATATTATTTTTGTCATTCAAATTTTAATTTTGTCAATTTTATTCCTAAAGTTTTCAATTTGAAACAAATTGGTTTAATTTCAAAGGGTTTGTTTAAATCATTAAACTAGTAATAACTACAATTATAATCCTCGAAGTGTGTTTCATGTCACTTATTTTCCAAAAGTCTTCAATTTTGTTGATTTGGTCACTAAACACCAATTAAGAAGACAAAGCATAGCCTTACAATGCTATTGGAAAAAATTGATAAATTTAAAACTTTAGAGATTCAAGTGCTATGACACGCATACTATTGGTACCATAGATGAATTTATATTATTATTTTGTTAATGTTTAGACCGTTGGGTGAAATTGGAGAAGTTTGACTCAAATTTAAATAACTTTATTGACAAAAATTCAAATTTGGTATATTAAAGTGACACAAAATGCATATTTTATGGATCATAGGTGTTTATGTTATCCATCATCTTAACCAATTTTGAAATAAAATATTTTCCCTAATTGAGCTACCTCCTTAAAATACTATATTGAGCTACCTCCTTAAAATACTATATATCATCTATTTTTTTCGCCGTTTTATATGACCAGGATACTTGGCAAGATGTTAATTGTTTTCATTAATTTTTTGTCATAATCATCTTCAAACAAGGAAGTCAATTATAAGTATCCAACCTGCTCACTTTCTTGCACATTCTGTAAGACTCTCATTTGAAACTTAATGAAATATCTATGCCGTTTTTGTTCTCAAAAAAATTATAAGTATCCATATAGATGGCAATATAAAATGGTAATAAAGATCAATGATATATAACAATTTTCATATTTTATACAGAGTATGGCTCCGAAGGACGAGTCTCAACAAATGGTGATATATATAGCTATGGTATGATGCTTTTGGAAACATTCACAAGAAAGAAACCCACAGATGAAATGTTCTCTGCAGAGATCAATTTAAGGCAATGGGTGAGTGCATCACTTCCCAACAAAATTATGGAAATAGTGGATGGTGGTTTATTGAGGATGCAAAATGGCAGTGACATGGTTGCCTCACAAAGCATTCTTCTTGCTCTTTTAGAGTTGGGTTTAGAGTGCACCAATGATATACCTGCGGAGAGAAGTGACATTAAAAAGGTTCTTGTCAAGCTAAACAAGATCAGAAAGCAACTCCGTCACATCCAAAGTATTTGACATGCTGATGCAGAGTGTTTGGTCATAGAGTTTTCTAAAACTCATGGACAAACATAGCAAAGGCAGAAGGTACCAGAGACGTGAGTTAGTTTGTGCTCAGAATGACGTAAAATTCAGTCGAAACACTGAAAATAACGTCACGATCAATATCCATCTATTTGTCATGGCATACAATGAATTTCGGTCAAATTCTAATATTTAGGCCTCCAATTTCGCAACTTCGCTATTTTTAAAAATAATTGATTCGTTAATTACTTGGTGTAGACGAATCCGTTTGAGATTAGATTTGTTCCAGAATATGTAATTTTTATTCTAGTTTCTAGATTTGAGATTAACTCTAATCTTTCTATTTTTGGTAATTTTCATATTATCTTTGATTTAAGCCTGATTAATGAGTATTACCTTAGCTTATCTCCTATTGTATTGGGGCATGTTCTCTCTATAAATAATGGTAGTGAGTTTTAAAGCGAGCATCTTATTTTAAGAGAAATAATATGTTCAAGAGAGAGTATATCGTTTATGAAATTTGTAGTTAATCTTTGTATTTGAGTTTCATCTCATTATTCTACCTTGCATACATGCACGTGCACATGTACATACACACACATACACTAGCAATATTATATGTGTATGTATTCTATTACAAAATTTCGTAATATTAACTACAAAATATATAATATCATCACAAATTGGAGTAACAAAAAATTTCGTAACCAAACCACTAACTTTTGCAACATCAATCACAAAATTTTAGACATTTTGTAACAAGATTACATATTTTATAATTAATGTTATTATTTCTTTTAATAAAATTGCACATTTTTGTGTTATCCTTTATTTCAGTTGTTCCATCCTCTTGTCCCTAGGTAAGCCCTTTCGAACATCTATGAAAATAGTAGTGTTTTTTTTTTTTTTTTTTACTAATTTTTTTTAAGGAGGTGATTGCTAAAATCAAATATTATTATAGTTTGTAAGAATACTAGTGAGTGACCCATGTTTGAAGGCACTCCCACCAAAAAGAACTGATAATACTAATTGCAAAGTAATATTCTACAAATATATAAATTAAGTTCCATAAGTAGTAGCATTTGAGCATATGAAGAAGTTCCCTTTTCTCCCTTCCCTCCAAGAGTACTATCCATTTACCTGTTTTTGAGTAGAGGTTGATTCTTGAGAATTGTGATCCTCTCTTTTTCAAAATTATAATGAAAGATCTCCATTACATTATTGAAGAATTTGTAATAATTTTTTATAAATTTAAAATATTGATAAATTCTCATTATTATTTTACAATTCTTAGACGATATAATGGAGATCTTCCATTATAACAATGAAATGGAGAGGATCTCTGCCCGATTTATGGCCAGAACTTTCGCATCAAAGTTTTACCATCCTAAGCAAAATCTTGTACAAAATACCAAAGAAGTCCACTTCAATAATGCTTTTGGGTACCAAAGAAGTCCTCTATAGAGTACTTTGAACAATGAAGACAATTTGTTTAGAGATGATCATTTACTGTACCCCTTCAAAAAAAATATATATATATTATTCAAAGGTGCGCTCAAATAACAAAAACATAAAACTTAAAATGGACATCAACACAACATTTTTTCATAATCAATCCAAAATATTTTGTAACTTCACATCTAATAAGATTCAATTGCGAGCATTCAAACTATTTAGAGCAAAAAAAGGTAAGCTACCAATTTTTGTACATCCCTAGAAGATTACATCCCATAGTTGCCAAATTTTGTGGTCTTTCGCATTATTCAACATCCAATTGATCAATTCAATTGAACCAATCTAATGAAAAAAACATAAGAGCAATTTCAGAGCTTAAAAACAGTTAAAAAAGATATTGTTCTAAAATATAAGCAAAACAACTAACGTACCTTTACAGTGCAATACAAAGCTAGATATTGGGTTACTTCTTCTCTCCGCCACTTTTGAGAATGAAAAAAATGCAACAAAAATTAAAAAAAGTAAAATAAATTAGAAAATCTATATATTGATTAAAAAGCAATGTATTTCGATAATCAAGCAAAACAACCAAACCAATGAAATATTTTTAACAAATTTATGGCTCAATAATGAATCAGCCAATTCACAACTTGATTTGCAAACCCAACTAATTGCCACCTTTAAGAAAAATTTGTGAACCAAAACCCAACTAATAAGCACTTCTAAGGTAAAGACGGGATATGAGTAAATTATGTTTAATAAAACAACCAAAAACTTGGTTAAGGGGACAACCTAAAAACCACTTGCAACACCTACTACTCCCCCTCTTCCCACCTGCAAAAAACTTGGATTACTAGTTTATAAACAAATGCAGATATGGTGAGAAAAAAAAAAGAAAAAGAAAAAACCAAAAATGTGACTAAGAAACAACTTTTTTTTAAGGGGATAAAGCATGAAGACATCAACATGAGAAAAAGTATATGTTTACAAAAAAAAAATTAACATCAGAAAAATGCACAACAAAAAACATGATATACATTCAATATACCTTGTATCAAAATACGAAACTGTTGCCAAGTAAGAGTTACACTCACACAATTTCAATAAAGAGACACACACACAAAGACAGTGACAATTATTGGCCATTGGATTACACAAATACATCCTGACCATTGAATTCTTTAATTTTGAAAAATTGGACACCGGAACAACCGGTTGACCATCTCCAATCCAATATTAACGTATTCTCTCTCTCTCTCTCTCTCTCTCTCTCTCTCTCTAGTTTCACTCTTTCGTCTCTCCCGCTCCCTCTCCCCCTGCTACTCCCTCCTTTGAGTGATCTCTTCCCTTGCTCCTCTCGCTCTTTTCTCTCTCTACTACGCTCATTCGTCTCTCTTCGTCTGGCTCGATTGACTGTGGGTTCTAAGTGGTTGTTCGGTTTAAAACCCTAAACTAACCTAGTGAGCCTCCGTTTGGTTTCTGATAAAACCAAAGTTTTTTTTTTGAAGAGCAATCAACAATGTATGCCTCCCTCTGATTATTCTGAAACCCTAAACCCTCTTCTAAAACTCTCGTCTTCCCTATTTTTTACTCTTTGGATATTTCTGAAATCATCCCTCTTCTAAAACTATACTCTCTGATTTTTACCCTATTTGTTGTCTCTAGTGTTTTATCTAGATTTCTATTCCAGTGTCTCTTGGCTCACACTAATTCAAAATTTGTACTGAAGCAAGGCTTGGTAACGATTTTATTCTATTTTGCTATTTATATATCTCGGTTGACATTCTTAATGAAATAATCCATTTTTACATTTATCAATATAGTATTTTGTAACCATATTGTTGCTTCCATGACTTGTTTGTGAGTTGTTGCAAAATATTTTATGAGAAATTTTGGCATTAAAATTATAGGGCTAATTATGTTATTTGAATTTTGATTGCATTTAAGATGTTTGTAAAAATGCGTAGTTTGTTAGCAATTTAAACAAATGTATTTTGGAACTATATTTTCATTGAATTTAGATGTTGAAAACTTGTAATTGACTATTCCAATTTATATTTAGTGATATTCACATGAAGCAACTATAACTTACGGTGGGACCTCCCAGTTTGTAAGTTAGGGCAAATAGTTATTCCAAGTGTTTTTGATAATGTTTAGTACTTGTTGTTCTAGTTGAATTAAATAGCCATCTCAAGTAAATCATTTGTTTGATTGGTTTTTAAATATATATATATATATATGCGCAAAATTAGTTCACATACAATAAAAATACTTCCAAAAATGCTAATCGAATAGTGCTTTAACTTCACTTGTATCGTTGTTTAAGCATGAGCAACAAGATAACAAGGAAGAGACTCCAACCAATAAAAAAGTGTGAAAAGCTAAAAAGAATTGAAGTATATGATTTTAATTTTAGCTAAAAAGCAATCGACATGAAGCTTATGTTTAATAAAATGAATTTGCTCCGCATACTTTTTTCAAAGTGTAATGATAATCGACTATTCCAATTTATATTTAGTGATATTCACATGAAGCAACTATAACTTACGGTGGGACCTCCCAGTTTGTAAGTTAGGGCAAATAGTTATTCCAAGTGTTTTTGATAATGTTTGGTACTTCTTGTTCTAGTTGAATTAAATAGCCATCTCAAGTAAATCATTTGTTTGATTGGTTTTTAAATATATATATATATATATATATAAGCAAAATTAGTTCACATACAATAAAAATACTTCCAAAAATGCTAATCGAATAGTGCTTTAACTTCACTTGTATCGTTGTTTAAGCATGAGCAACAAGATAACAAGGAAGAGACTCCAACCAATAAAAAAGTGTGAAAAGCTAAAAAGAATTGAAGTATATGATTTTAATTTTAGCTAAAAAGCAATCGACATGAAGCTTATGTTTAATAAAATGAATTTGCTCCGCATACTTTTTTCAAAGTGTAATGATGCTAAGATAATCCATGAATTACTGTCTTTCCTCTAAGCGTGGATGCTTTCCTAGCCACCATGAAAGATTATTGTGAAACTTTAGGATTGAAGTAGTGGAAAGTGGGAGAAAGGGAAATTTTTGATTTTTTTTTCCCCCCTGCTTTGTTTAGCATGATAAATGACAGTGTTGGAAAATGTAAGATTGTTAAATTTAGTGTACAACCCATAGCAACATGGTGAGTTGCTTTTCAATTTCTTGCAAAATATACATAAATGTTTCTTGCAAAAAATAAAGAACTTTTTTTTCACTATTTTGTCACTTTTGATTTCCAGTCTTGTTACCATGTGCACCTTATATCTTAACCATTGAATCTTCACAAACTAATCTAAGCCATTGAATAATTTAATGGAAAAAACTTGAAACCTTCTTAACTACTAGTTGTCCTGACTGAAAAGCTCTCTCTCTCTCTCTCCCCTCTAAGAAAGTCCTAACGTTTTTCTCCCAATGCGACTCTGACAATTTTCTCTCCCTCCTACGACGCTACTCAAAAGACCTTCCTGCAAAGTCGAAACTCTTCCATCTCCATTTTCTGCAACTTAATCTAATATATATGTTGGTCCATTTTGTGAGCCTAATTCCGATTATGTGCTAATATAAGACGCAATTGAAGTCTGTGCATCTTCTTGTGTTCTTTTGCTGATATATCCTCTCTCTCTCTCTCTCTCCCTCTCTCTCTCATTGTGTTATGGTCCATTTTGTAAACTCTTCTTTGCTTGTTGATTTTTTACTTCTTTTAAGTTCATTGTTTGTGGGGTGAAACCCATATGACCTATTTATTATATCTTTTACCATCCCTTCATTTTTCTTCTGTTTGGAAAACTCTATTCACTTTGATTTTTATCCAATTTTGTCTCTCATTCTTCATATTATTTTAGAATTTTGAACATTGGGCTAGTGAAACTACAGCTTAAGGCCCCGTTTGTTTGGGGTTATAGAAAGTGGATTGGGATTGATAGTGAGGTTAGACTACTATATGGGGTGTTTGTTTTGAGAGATGGGAAGGGGACTACTAATGCCTTGGTATTAGTAAAGGCCTTGGAAGGGGGATTCATTGTGAGGAGGTAAAGATGGTATTAGAAAAATAGTGAGGGGATTAGAAATTTTTTTATTTTTTATATATTGGGAATTTTTTTTTTAAATATTAATGTTTAATTTTTAAATTTTTTTTATTTCTTTTATTATTTTATATAAAAATAATTTAACAATTCCTCACTATCAATCCCCTCACTATTAATCCCCTCACTATCAATTCCCTTCATTCTATCTCTGAAAACAAACGGGACCTAAGGGTTTTTTCCAAACTTGGTAACGATTTTAAACTATTTTTCCCTCTAGTTTTTAAGATATTTGAATTTGATTGGATTTAAGCTGTTCCAAACTGTTCTAAACGATTTTTTGATCATAGTTAAGATAATCCGAAGAATGAGAGACTGTTCGAAACTATTCCAAATTGGATTTTAAATGGTCTTTTTCAAATTGTTCTTTGAAATTTGATTGCATTTAAGATGTTCATAAAAATGCATTAGTTTTTTTTTTTTTTTTTTTTTTTTTTTTTGGGGGGGGGGGGGGGTGTTTGGAAAAAAAAAAAAAAACTTTAGTGAAAAGCATTTAGAGAGGAATTTGAATGTGCTGATCTGTTTACTTACTAGAAAGAAGATAAGTAAATTTTTTTGGTAAATCTAGTGTTAAGTATGAGATCTTTCAAATGATTTTGGGTACCAAAAATGGTTAAAATCTAGCTCACTGAAATATATCAAATATATCTTGGATATCCAATGATCAAATATATCTTAACAAAAATTTTTTGAATTTTGGCTCATTCAAAACCTAGCACATTGGTGGGGGAAAGCATTGTGCTTCACATTAATTTTTTATTAGTAGCATTCATTTCTACAGATCAATGTTTATGTGAGATGTAATAACTTTAAAATCTTTTTCATTCTTCTTTTTTAACCAATCATTGGATTATATGCAAATAATGCATGCACGGATTAGGTTCCTTTTGAGTTTTCTTTTTAACTGTAATGGTTTTAAATTATTTTCGTTGAAAAAAAAAATCTGAAAATGGTATTACTTGAGGTACTTGTTCAATAATTTCATTGTGAAGGATTTGGATTATTTGATCTGCTTGAATTTTATGATTTTACTATAAACATTGTTGTGTTGAATATATTTTTGTGAGTAGTGAGTGCTTTGTGTTGCGTGTTCTTTTGTGCATAATTACATACTCATTAGGCACACACCCATATTGAGTGTTTTTTTCCCTTGGTTAACAACACTTACCTGGTGACACAAACTATGATCACCCATTAGGCATACAACCCTAACAAAACATGCACATTTTGTTCATTTCATGAAATCAGGCATAAGTGGGAAATTCTTTTAGTTTAGTTTGTTTAAAGACTTCAGAGGTGCAATAATATTTGCTATAATCTGGGTTATGCAGGGTTTACAAGTGCAATTTTACATGGGGGAGACTTAGGATCTTCCATTTTCAATTATCAAATGCCCACATAATTGTTATACAGAATTTGTCACAAAAACAATATGAAAACAACATGCTTGAGCAGTCATATCATTTAGAATAAATTTTATGAATGAATTTTATATTTACATGGCATTACTCGTTTTATTTTCCAACAGTGCCCTTTTGAAAACCTTATCAACGAAAAGAGCTCCGCAATTCGTAGTGCTGATAGTGTTTTGTTTTATTTCATGGTCTAAAACCAAAAATGACGCAAAAATACAAAGACTATGGTCATTCCCCAACAGAAAATCTGCTTTCTATTCTAGGAATTGGAAGAGGTTATGGTCTATCTTTTTAGCCCTAGTTAAAACTCAAAACATATTTTTCAAAACATGGGGACTTTAATGTAATTGCGGATCCAGTGGCAATGATTGTGGAATATATATTTTAAAAATAATAAATTATCTGTTTATATTCAATCTATAGAAAATTTATTGCTCAAAGTAATCTTGGATTGGATTTATATGCAGTTTCACAATATATGATGAAAGTAAATGTATTACTTCAAGAGCTAAATGACTATATTTGTGTGTTTGTGTAGATGGTTTGTTAATGTGAAAGGATATGTGCAAAATGACATTCATAATATATTATACCCTCTCTCCCCATAATCTTAAATTTCCTTAAGCATTGTCTTATTTTCTAACTCATTTTCATGTTCTATTTTCTTTTGTCACAGGTCCTCAATTTCACCATCTTTAAATAGAAATAAAGGTATACCTCCCTCCCTCCTAGCAGTAGCACTGACGAGTGTGCTTATTTATGTGCGTTCGTTTTCTTTGTAATTCATATCAAGGCACTGGCAGCTGTGCCAATTTATTTATTTGCTTGTATTTTATTTCCTTTAATTGATATCAGAGCACTGGTGAGTGTGCCACTTTATTTCTTTGCTTTCTTTTAATTTATAGCAGGGCACTGGCAGATGTACCAATTTATTTATTTGCTTTCTTTTAATTGATAGTAGGGCACTTGCTAGTGTGCCAATTTATTTATTTGCTTTCTTTTAATTGATGGCAGGGCACTGGCAGGTGTGTCAATTTATTTGTTTGCTAGTATTCGCTCTCTTTTAATTGAAAGCAGGGCACTGACGGGTGTGCCACTTTATTTCTTTGCTTGTATTTGTTGTATTTTGGAACCATATTTTTGCTTCAATCTTTTTGAACAAGAAGTATATAAACCAAAGCTTAATTTTTCTTTTTCTGTTTCTTTTTTTTTTTTCTTCTAATTTTTTATCAACAATTAGATAGCTACATTTTTTTTCTTCTATTGAGAAGACAGTGAACTTTAATATACACACGCATGCACACACAAAAATGGACAAAAATTGAAGCCATGAGTATATGAACTAAGGTAAAGAAGAAAAATAAAATTGAATACAATTGAAGGAGTAATGTTGACTTTAATCATAGATTTGTGTCGGATGTAGTCCCCCAACCACCCCTTTCAAAAAAAAAAATTTTTGATAAGAAAAGAAAACAAATCAGCACCTGTCTTTGGTAATAGGGAAGTCGTCATGGAGTCAGAAAAGAAATAACAATTCTTTGAAGATGGGGTGCGGAATTTCCCAAGTTAAGTACTCATACTAATATTGACAAGAAATATATCACTATTCTAGTTCATTTGTATTAATTTATTAAAATGTAGAAAGCTCAGGGGGGAAAAACAAAATCTCACCAATTTTACAATTTCAAAATATAAATATTTGGAATTTTACCTTCAAGTTCCTACGAAGTGTCAATCCGACAAAATTTGGAAATTGGGTTGGCTGTAGATGATTGGATCGTTCCATTTAACATTGTGAGATGTAAAATTGATATGAGAATAGTATTTAAGGTAAGGGAGCTGTTTGGGTGTGCAACCCGTCAAAGGTTGCACATCATATGCAAAATAAAAGAGCAATACATATTCAATTTGTCGGGTACTCACCATAAGCGGGAGGAATTGCAATAATTGCCTGAGCTCTAAAAGGCTCACCCGTATCTACATCTGGTTCAGTGCATGCCGGTAAAAGAGATTCGATAATGGCCTTTAGTTGCTTTCTCTGTATAGATATTTCTCCTGGCGCAGATGGAATTAAACCTTTGTTCCTGGCCATATCTATAATTGCAGGGGAGAACCAGAAAAGGAAAAAATAAAATAATTAAAAAAGCACAACTTAGTACGTCCAAAATAAAGATCTTGGGATTGCACATGCTATCCCAATTTTAACACCAGTTATGAAACTGTCAACAATATGACAAAAATATGACAGGACAAACAAACAGAAAAGCAATAATAATTGATCCAAGTAAAACAAAAGGAGAGGCCTAGAAAGTGATTTCTGAGAAAACTAACACATATGAAGAAAATCATGAATTTTATATTTACATGGCATTACTCGTTTTATTTTCCAACAGTGCCCTTTTGAAAACCTTATCAACGAAAAGAGCTCCGCAATTCGTAGTGCTGATAGTGTTTTGTTTTATTTCATGGTCTAAAACCAAAAATGACGCAAAAATACAAAGACTATGGTCATTCCCCAACAAAAAATCTGCTTTCTATTCTAGGAATTGGAAGAGGTTATGGTCTATCTTTTTAGCCCTAGTTAAAACTCAAAACATATTTTTCAAAACATGGGGACTTTAATGTAATTGCGGATCCAGTGGCAATGATTGTGGAATATATATTTTAAAAATAATAAATTATCTGTTTATATTCAATCTATAGAAAATTTATATCTCAAAGAAATCTTGGATTGGATTTATATGCAGTTTCACAATATATGATGAAAGTAAATGTATTACTTCAAGAGCTAAATGATTATATTTGTGTGTTTGTGTAGATGGTTTGTTAATGTGAAAGGATATGTGCAAAATGACATTCATAATATATTATACCCTTTCTCCCCATAATCTTAAATTTCCTTAAGCATTGTCTTATTTTCTAACTCATTTTCATGTTCTATTTTCTTTTGTCGCAAGTCCTCAATTTCACCATCTTTAAATAGAAATAAAGGTATACCTCCCTCCCTCCTAGCAGCAGTAGCACTGACGAGTGTGCTAATTTATGTGCGTTCGTTTTCTTTGTAATTCATATCAAGGCACTGGCAGTTGTGCCAATTTATTTATTTGCTTGTATTTTATTTCCTTTAATTGATATCAGAGCACTGGTGAGCGTGCCACTTTATTTCTTTGCTTTCTTTTAATTTATAGCAGGGCACTGGCAGGTGTACCAATTTATTTATTTGCTTTTTTTTAATTGATAGTAGGGCACTTGCTAGTGTGCCAATTTATTTAGTTGCTTTCTTTTAATTGATGGCAGGGCACTGGCAGGTGTGTCAATTTATTTGTTTGCTAGTATTCGCTCTCTTTTAATTGAAAGCAGGGCACTGACGGGTGTGTCACTTTATTTCTTTGCTTGTATTTGTTGTATTTTGGAACCATATTTTTGCTTCAATCTTTTTGAACAAGAAGAAGTATATAAACCAAAGCTTAATTTTTCTTTTTCTGTTTCTTTTTTTTTTCCTTCTAATTTTTTATCAACAATTAGATAGCTACATTTTTTTTCTTCTATCGAGAAGACAGTGAACTTTAATATACACACGCATGCACACACAAAAATGGACAAAAATTGAAGCCATGAGTATATGAACTACGGTAAAGAAGAAAAGTAAAATTGAATACAATTGAAGGAGTAATGTTGACTTTAATCATAGATTTGTGTCGGATGTAGTCCCCCAACCACCCCTTCCAAAAAAAAAAATTTGATAAGAAAAGAAAACAAATCAGCACCTGTCTTTGGTAATAGGGAAGTCGTCATGGAGTCAGAAAAGAAATAACAATTCTTTGAAGATGGGGTGCGGAATTTCCCAAGTTAAGTACTCATACTAATATTGACAAGAAATATATCACTATTCTAGTTTATTTGTATTAATTTATTAAAATGTAGAAAATTTAGGGGGGAAAACAAAATCTCACCAATTTTACAATTTCAGAATATAGATATTTGGAATTTTACCTTCAAGTTCCTACGAAGTGTTAATCCGACAAAATTTGGAAATTGGGTTGGCTGTAGATGATTGGATCTTTCCATTTAACATTGTGAGATGTAAAATTGATATGAGAATAGTATTTAAGGTAAGGGAGCTGTTTGGGTGTGCAACCCGTCAAAGGCTGCACATCATATGCAAAATAAAAGAGCAATACATATTCAATTTGTCGGGTACTCACCATAAGCGGGAGGAATTGCAATAATTGCCTGAGCTCTAAAAGGCTCACCCGTATCTACATCTGGTTCAGTGCATGCCGGTAAAAGAGATTCGATAATGGCCTTTAGTTGCTTTCTCTGTATAGATATTTCTCCTGGCGCAGATGGAATTAAACCTTTGTTCCTGGCCATATCTATCATCGCAGGGGAGAACTAGAAAAGGAAAAAATAAAATAATTAAAAAAGCACAACTTAGTACGTCCAAAAGAAAGATCTTGGGATTGCACATGCTATCCCAATTTTAACACCAGTTATGAAACTATCAACAATATGATAAATATATGACAGGACAAACAAACAGAAAAGAAATAATAATTGATCCAAGCAAAACAAAAGGAGAGGCTTAGAAAGTGATTTCTCAGAAAACTAACACATGAAGAAAATCAATTCCGTTTTTAAATAGAGATGGGGGGCAAAAAAAGTATCAAGTCAAGGACATCTTACATCCTGCCAAAACCCGAGGATCACCGCCGAAAGGGTAGAAGTCTATACCAGCTGACTTCACAAAAGTAGAGAAGTTAACATGAGTTGCCAACCTAACATGATGACCAAACTCCTGCAGATAAACGTAGAATCGGTTTAACAACAAAATAACAGCACTAATGATATAAATAAATAAATAAAATAAGAACAACAACAACTAAAACTACTAATAATGATCTGTTCTTCCCCAGGAAGCAGAGGGTAGATGGCATTAACATGAAGTACCTGATATTACTCAGTGAACTGTAAAATAAGCCATTTTATTAAATATACTGTGAAGAATTAAGTCAAGACATATATTACAATTCAATTTTCTAACAGTGCTTAGATTCAGGCAAAAAACTAAATGCAGAAAATGTCAATTCAAAAACAGCAGCTGGACAACTAAACTTTTGCATGCACTCATGCACAATGAATCAAAAAGTGAAAACTAAAAATATTCAAAATGCACAACAACAATCGTCATATCAGCTCCAAAAGCCATCCCAGTTTGTTCCAATCTATTTGATTGTTACAAGAAAGAAGAAATAATGGTTATAGCTTTGAAAATTGCAAGTGAAATTTATATGTGCATACCTCTTTTCAACATATAGAAACATTTCTTTGGCATATTCAATTATACAGGACATCAGTAAAACATATGAAAATAATGCTTAAATAAATCAAATCTATTTATTGACCATCAAATCCAAACAATGAATTACAACAAACAAACCACATCAATTCACAAAACAATAACAAATAAACTGTGTTGAGAACATACACCCTAAAACTTTATACCCAATCTTCGATCCTTATAACCAAATCAACATTGTACCTATGTTGAGCAGATTATTAGAGATGGCTGATTGAAAACCCTAGGAGAAGATTCAAGATTGTAAACCCTAGGAGAAGAATCGACGGGAAGGAAGAGAATACAAACTGCGATTGTAGACAGTGGTGCTCACCTTAGTAGACGATGGTGCTCGCTCTCGCCGGTGCAGAAGATGGTGGTGGCGGTGGAGCTTCGAAATCGAGAGAGACAGAACTTCGAAATCAAGAGAGAGAACTTTGAAATCAAAGTCGAAATTGCTCTAAGATGAACCTCTCACTCCCTCTCTGAGATGAATCGAAATCACTGAGATGAATCATTGTTGATTCGATCGGTTGAGAGCGATTAGGGTTGAGAGAGAGAGAGTCGATCGGTTTCTTCAAAATAAGGATGCTTCTGTTTCTTCAGAATAAGATTATGGGAATATTATCAATTAAAAATATATATATATATTCCCAATTTAATTAGAATGTGGGATTAACAAATATATATATGGTCACATGTAATTAAAAAGTGGCATAAAAAATAAATACTATTACACTTAATTAAATTAGTTGTGATTAAAATATTAATTTGATTTTTTTAATCACACTTTTATTAAAAGTATCATGTTTTAATTTCCTTAAGTGTGACCTTTAAACATTTTTCTATCATCGAATTACAAGCAATTGACTAGGACCATGGACCTATTTAATGGTAGAAAATGGGAAACTGAGCAACCGGTTAACTCTCTCTCTCTCTTCCTATTTTCCTCTCACTCCCTCACGATGGTTACGCTTCTATTTCTCTCATTTTTGTCTCTCGCTCCTTCTCTTATACTGCTCTCGCCATCTCTATGTAACCCTTAATTTCCAGCAATAACTAGTAGCCTCTGTTGAGTTCTAGCCACAATGAGACTACAAGTCTTTGTTGGCTTCCATCGTTGAAGTGAATGTGTTCTCTCCAACCAGATAAATATCAAGTATATATGGACTCTCTCTCTCTCTTGCCCTATTCACTTCAATGATTTCCCTCTACCAAAGCCTCATCCTAACTCCAACCCCTCTACCACTTCCAAAACTTAAAATCCCTCCATCTGCAACAATAACACACACTCTCTCTCTCTCTCTCTCTCTCTCTCTCAAATTGATTTCTAAGAAGCCCTAAAAATCTCTCTCTCTCTTAATCAATTTTTGGCATGCACTGACTTTCTCTTTTTTTCATGATTGATCAATTTCTCCATCTATTTTACACTTCTAAAATCAATTCTATTTCTGCTCCTTATAGTCATAGTTTCATTTTCCAAGTTAATTGAAGAATATGTGGTGTGCTTTAATAATTCAAAACACACAGATGCACACTTGCATTGCATAGTTGGTTTGTTAACCCAACTCTATTTGTACAAGCTCAAAGGGAAAAAAGGGAGAATTGATATTGATGAACACAAGAAAAAGAAAGGAAAAAAAAAAAATGACGAAATGAATGAAGAAAAATAAATGTTGGAAGGGGGTGGGTAATTGTTTGTGTTTGGAAAGACATTGTCAATTCTTCCTTAATGGGTTTAATTGGCTATATTCTTTTCTATTTGGTGATAATGGGTTTAATATATTTTTTGAAAAATATATGATTTTAATGTTTATAGATTTTGCATGTTATGGTGATTTGGTTAGAATTTAGTTCAGTTTATGACCATTGTTGAATTTAACAAATGGAATGTGTGGAAAGTGAATGATATATTCTATGTATAAAAAGTGAGATTATTGTGTTGTTCGACATTACTTGAATTTAGATCTTTTAATCTGTTGCCGGTGTATCTTAATTCCATGGTCTACCAATTTATTGTCATTGTTGAATTAGTAAGCTTTTGGCTTATATAATTTTTGGATTTATGAAGAAAAATAAATGTTGGAAGAGGGTGGGTAATTGTTTGTGTTTGGAAGGACATTGTCAATTCTTCCTTAATGGATTTAATTGGCTATATTCTTTTCTATTTGGTGATAATGGGTTTAATATATTTTTTGAAAAACATATGATTTTAATGTTATAGATTTTGCATGTTATGGTGATTTGGTTAGAATTTAGTTCAGTTTATGACCATTGTTGAATTTAACAAATGGAATGTGTGGAAAGTGAATGATATATTCTATGTATAAAAAGTGAGATTATTGTGTTGTTCGACATTACTTGAATTTAGATCTTTTAATCTGTTGCCGGTGTATCTTAATTCCATGGTCTACCAATTTATTGTCATTGTTGAATTAGTAAGCTTTTGGCTTATATAATTTTTGGATTTTAGCTAGATTTTTCTGTATTGTTCATTTTGAATAAAGAACTTTAAAATATTATCAAATATCAAGGGCCCTTGCTTGGGTTTTGATCCTCACTAAACTAACTGTCATTATGGATTGTAACTCTTAGTTGATTGGACATGCTGAAGAATTAAATTGACAATTTCTCTTATAGCGTGGCAGGTATAGCTATAGTTGATAGGATATGCCGAAGAATTAAATTGACAATTTCTCTTGCAATGCGGCAGGTATATATGAGTTTATTATGTGGAATTCAAGTCTTGTTGAGCCAAGTTTCTATATGCAACTTTGTTGATTCTCATAATTATGCATAATTTTTTGCAAATAACTTCTTTTTTATATGCAGTCTACGCACGGTGGCTAGTTAGTAGCTCATTCTTGACTAGAAAATTGATTTACCGAACAAGTCTAGAAAATGAAATAAATATATCAATAACTCAATGAAAATGCAATTATCTCCATGAACAAAATGTTTGTTATGCTTAATAGCTTTAGTTTGATCTATATTTGTATGAATTCTGGCCTTTACTCAAGTAGTTTTTTCTTCGGGAAAAGACATGAAATTTCTTGTACCGGATGTTACAAAAATGCAACTTTGTTGATTCTCATGGAATTTTGCATAATTTTTTGCAAATAACTTATTTCTTCTTTTATCTGTCATTCGTATTACTTTTTAATTGTTCTTCATTTTGATGAGTTTGATCCAATATTTTTTTTTGAAGGCTAGAAATAGTTGGAATGGGTTTTTGACCTCCTAGATGGAACCTTTTCTCTCTCACATGTTATACTCACTTTCTCCAAGTTTCTTGAGAAGGCATATATTAACTTGTGGGTGATGGATATTACTAGGTGTGCATTTAATTGTTGATTATTTTTCATTGTTGAATGTATGATCAAGTCTTTTTACTAAATTTTTTGGCTTTTTATGAACCAACAATCAATTGCTAAATGAATTATTTATATTTTTAATTTTATTTTGGTGGTATCGATACTCTAATTCGAGTTTGTGAAAAATATTATAGGGTTTTGAGGGTCGTTGAATTTGGCGGCTAATGCTACAATGCTACAATATGTTTTCTTTATTGAGTCTCAATGGTTTCTTTATAGAGTGCCTATACATTTTCTGAATTAATTTATAGTCTCCACGGTTACTTGATAATGAGTTTCAATTTTTTTTTCCTTCTCAATTATACTACGTAAGGTCCCAAATTTCATAATGGGTTTTTCTATTTTTGTTCTCATTCTTAATTGGAGTTTTCATTGCGTCCGCAACTCAGCGTTTTGTCTGACGACCTCTACACGTAGTAGACACTTTGTACACATTTCTCTCAAAGCAAATATAACGGTTTGTGGTTTGGCTCCTTTCTCTTTCATTTCCTCTCTAAATCCATTGTTTGAGAATTGATTCAAGGTATTTTGTTTATTTGGGTATAATCATTTTTTTTTTGGTTATGTGTATGTCTGTATGTAATGTGTATACTTTATATTCTATAAAATGCTTCACCTAACGCAGTACATGTTGTTCCCCTATAATTGTTGGAACTCATAAGATTCTCTAGAAGTATATTCTTTTTTTGTTCTCTTTTGAATTTGTTCTATTTTGTCTATTTTTGTTAACAATGCTGATTTTTTATGCTTATTTAAATTTCTTTTCACTATTTAGAGACATACTTTGGACTTGAGTAGAATATTCATGCAAAAAATAAGATGATTGGACATCGGTAGTTATATATTCAAATCATATTTGTTTAAAAATAATGGACGACAAATATAATTTCAAGAATAACCATCTGTGTGGGTAAAAATCTGACCACACTGCCCGTTTAGTGATCAGCAGCAAAGCACCGGCAGAATGGATGGCTACAGCAACCTGTAACAGAAAAGAAAAGCTCCGGCGGTGGTTCTTCCACCCGGGGGCACTCCGACGATCAAGTCAGTATGTTTCTCAAGGATAATCAAGTATTAAACTGAATACTCAAAGTCTGAATTACATACCTTAGACCCACGGGGGTGCCTCTCTTTTATAATATACTCAATCCAAGTCCAACTAGAAGTATGACTTCTATGAACTCCAATCTTAGTGCTTACTCTGGACTCTTTAAGAGATAGAGATAAACTCCCTAAGAGCTTTATCCTTATCTTAACTAAGTCCCCTCTTTGCCTTAGGACTCTTGTCCCTTATCTTTGGACTCCGACATCTTCGGAGATGACCTCGGCTTCTCCGAGATTACCTCGGCTTAACTACCAGGGCACGTGGCACCTCGGCTTATACGTCGGCGTCACCATGCCACGTGTTAATATTCAAAAAATATGTCCCCACACCATCCATTTTTTGTAATACAAATTTGATTGAAACATATAGCTTCTAATATTTGATCATTTTGATTTTTTACATGAATATTTTACTTAACGAGTCCTAAAATTTGAATAGTTCAAATCATCACAACGGGGACCGTGGTGGGCTCCACAACCCTCTCTAATTCTCTCATATTGAGATATGAACAAAAGAGAAGTTTAATCCTTTTTTTTAGAGTAATTACCACTACTATTATACCCTAAACTTTTGTACTATTGTACTCTCAACTTTTGTACTATTAAATATCAACCGTTCAAAAATGATCATCTTACGAAAAATTTTGGATCCGAATTCCTCTTCCTTTGTAGTAACCTACTTTCCAACCCCATCCACCAACACACCTATAATTACAACCCCACTCCCTCACACTTTTCGTTCTAATCCCTAAAAACAACTCAGTAAAACTTCTCCACAATCATCCATCATCATCTATCTCCCCCTCTCTCTTAGCTTCAAAAGTTATGGGTTTCATATTTTCTTATTCATCTATATAGATTTTGGGTTGTGGGTAGATTTTTAACAATTGTTTTGATTTAAGATTTGTGGGTTTCTTGTTTTCTTATTCATCTAGGGTAGTTTGTGCACGTTGATTCTAAACCACTAGATTACTCAAATATCATCTTAGCCATTAAAATGTTTAATGGTTAAATATAGGCAACCGGAGTAACTAGTTAACCTTGCTCTATTGTCTCTTTCTATGCTCTATCTCTGTTGCCTTTGCTCTCACTCCGTTGTCTTTTTCGTTGTTGTTCTCATTTTATCGTTGGGTTGGGTGACGCATTG